GACACCCATACCGCCGCAGCAGGACATGGTTTTCCAGCTCTCCAATGGCAGCATGATGTTCTATCCCTTTACAGCCGAAAAGTATCGCCACGAGGTGCATGCCACAGTCTACAGGTGCGTCGAATATTGATCACAAATCGAAGCTTTATCCTCAATGCTTAATCCTTTCTCTGGCAGATGCAAACTCCGCAATCTCGTGGGCACTGTCCTCAGTCGTGAGGTGCATGTGCGCGGCGGTAAGTCCAACAAAATAGTTTTTAATTCATTTGAAAGGGCAGCCAAACAAAACTCTCCGCTGTCGTTGTGCATTTATGGCCACTGGGAAAGTTGCCTTTGTGCTGACGGAGCGAGTTCTCTGGCTTTCATCGCTGCTGCTTCTGCTTCTGGCTGCTGTTGTTGTTGGCGCAAAACTTTGGCCTAATTGGAAAGTTTGTCGAACGCGCTCCAGCCCCAATTTGCGTGGTGCTCGGTGGCACGCCTAAAAGCAGTCAACGCAAGTTTTAATTACAAAAATGTTTGGGGTGGACAACAATTGCGAGTGCTCGGCGCTAATTTGGCGCCTCAGTGTGTGAGAATATACTCTGTGAGGTCCTGGCTGAGCTCATTCTTGGCTCCCTTTCTCGCCACTCTCTGGGCTAGTGCATAGAATATTCTGCATTAATGAACCTCGCGAACTGGCAGCGGTGGAGACGGCGTCGCAATCACTTTGATTGCCATCACATGTCGCATAGATTTTGCGGCTCATTGGGCAGCCAATTCAAGCAAGGAAAGGGCCAGAGAAATGCTACAACAATTAGCTCTGACCATAACAGATTTGCCCAAAAACAAATGGGCGACCAAAGGCTAAGCCTCAAAGGCTACACTTGAGTTGGACTTTAATTAACAGAGGGAGGAGCGGGCAAATGAAGGCAGGGACTCCGCACAGATAGGGCTGGAAGCAAAAAGGGGGAAAGTCCGTAGTTCAAAGCAAAAGGCAACCGCAAAAGATCTAAGATAGAGACAGAGACAGAGAGGGAGAGGGAGAGGGAGAGCGAGAGACTGCCACATATTGGTGCGTGTGGGTTTTGGTTTGTGTTTTTTTCAGCAACGTTACGTATACGCCATGGCCGCTGGCTTATTTTATTTGTGGCCCCAGGCCACTCTCTGTTTTTCTCTTTGTTTTTATGTGTGCCAGAAATTGTTTTGCCCCTCCCCCACCCACCAAAGTCCTTGCTGGAGAGCTTTCCGCTTGAACAATTTGACAGCGCGTAGATTTGGCGCAAAACGTTTTGCCTAATTTGGAGAAAAGTTCTTCGAGGGAATCAGCGATCTGCGCTGGCCAAGCACTAAGACTGGAGCCACTAATTTTGTTGCTAATGTGTGCAGCCCGTCCCTGCCCCACACTTAAGTGCGGTGTGCCGCAGGACCTGCCTTTTGTTGCCCTACGCAATTAGCGCAACTTTGAGGCAAAAACTCTTGACAAATATCCGCACACACATACAATTCAACTCGAGCTCAAGCGCAGTTGTCAGCGCGCAGCTCATCCTGCGCTCAGCTGAAGCATAGGCCAACTTTTCTTGACACTGATGAATGGCTGGCAGGCTGCTGCGGAGCTTGCCTGTGTGGCGGCGAGAGACACAAAGTTGCGCTGACTTTTGCCACTTTTGCACTTTTGCATTTCATCAAACCAAAGGCACATCCATGCCTAAGGTGGATGCCGGGGAATCCTTGTTTTGTGATTGAGCTAGGAAAAGTTTTGCGGGCACTGCCGCTGGCTGCTTGTGCATGAAACCTGCGTAATTTGTTTCTAATTAGTTGAATGCACATTGTGGAGGCTGCACACAACAGCACAGGGATATGCACCTCAAGGAGCTGCTGCTTATCAGCTGATACCTTGATGCTAGCTACCATAAATCCGTTTCCGCTTTTGGGTGCAACTTTTACATGCGCAAAAAAAGCCAAGACGGAAATGAATTTCCGTGCAGCGAATGATGCTCGTGCCACGTACCACACTGTCCCCTCTCTTTGCTCTTTGTCTTGTGCTGCGGCGACTATAAACTTGGCTTTTTCGTACTTACTTTCCTGCCCAGCTGTCCTGTTCCTGTCTCTCAGTCTCCTCTCTCTCCTCTGCTGCTGCAACATTGTTTGGCTGTCCTTCAGTTTGGAAATTTTCATGCAAAATGCAACATGAAAGGCGAAAAAACAACTTTTACAAAAGTTTTGTAGACCCAAAAAAAAAACCGAAGCAAAAGCAAGCAAACAACTAGGCATCGAAGCATTTGATACCCTCGCAGAGCAATTGAAATACCATACAAAAACCAGATTATGATGCACAAATATAGCCTCTAATGATGCCCTAAAAAAGGACACCAAAAACCTGCACAAAGCTTGGAAAAAATTGCTGGCAGAATGGCGTAAGAAACAGTTTCTGGGGCAGCTCTAATCCAGGCAATACAAATAATGAAGATGCAAAAGGGAAATACAACAAATACGAAACTAAGCTGGGAAATAGCAGCAGCAACAGGAACAGGAACAGGCGTTGTGGCAGTGGCAGGAACAGAAGCACCACCACCATTGGCCAGTGGAATTATAATAAAATGTTGTCACAAAGTTTTGCCAACAAAAACAGCAACAGCAACAAAAACAACAACTTTTCAAATTAAACTTTTATCCAATTTTGGAGCACATTAAAGTTGCGCCAACAAAATCGAAATAAAAATATATTTTCGTGCTGCCACAAATTGTGCTTAGAGGAAGGGGGAAGTGTGTGCCCCGCAGCCTAATCTATTTACCATTAGAACTCCTAGGGAATCCCCCTGCGAATGTACAATGAAAAGTGAAAATTGCCTTTGTCCGTCTTAATTAATTTGCCAGCAGTCAGCAGCCAGCAGCCAGCCTCTAAATGCTCTTAAAGCAGTGGCCCACAGTGGTGCAAAAGAAAGGACAAAAAATGGGTAAGGCCTCGAGGACTCTTCATTCAAAAATAGATTCTTGAGTGGCTTTGCCACACTTTTTTTTGTACTTTCCATAGAGGGAAAGTACTAAAAGATGAGCAACTGCAACAGCAAATTTTAAGGCAAAGTTTTCCCTTTTTCAAGGACTCTCAAGCCACTGCACTGCCCTGCCTTGCCATTGTTGGAGCCTTCCCCTTGTCATTCTTAATTTGCAGCTGAGCGCTGGGCAAGGGCCGGAAAAAAATCTTTAACTCAAATTGCCAAATCCAATTTTTTAACGGCCCAAAGCCCCGACCACTCCCTCGCTCCAAGCGGCAACACTTTTGTGAAGTGTCACAAAGCGTTGGACAGCAGGGGGCCATGGGTTGTGTCCCTTTTTTGGGGACATAAAAAATACAACAACAAATAGAAATAAATAAGAACCTTTACCCCTTGTAAAGATTACATTGTGACACCCATAAAATATGTTTTTGAATTCGTTTTGCAGTCGTCAACCAGAAGTATGCGGTCCAAGTGCACGACGAATACGTGATGACGGGCAACACGGCGGTGCTGAAGTGTCAGGTAAGCATTCCCCTTTTGCCCGAGTGCACTTACCCAGAGCAAAATCTGATTTTGCACCAACAAATCTGCTTAAGCTCCTGCTCCTTCTATGACTCTCTCTCTCTGTCCATCTATCTGTACGTTTAGGTGCCCAGCTATATGTCAGAGTTTGTAATGGTCACCGCCTGGGTGCAGGACACGGGCATGCATCTGTATCCGAACACGGACATTGGTGGCAAGTACACGGTGCTATCGAACGGCGAGCTGTACATAAATAATGCCGGGCCCAATGATGCCTACAAAACCTACACATGCCGCACTGTAAATAGACTGACAGGTACGTGATAATCGCATTTCGCCGACTTAATCGTCCACTCTGAGCTGAGAGCGAGCGAGAGGCATCCGGCTGCCTGGTCCAGCTATAATTACATTGAATAAATAAGCAATGAACGGGCAGCGTGTGTGGACCTGAGCGGTTCAATTAAAGAGAATTCCACCCTCAATCGAAAGCTTCTCTTGCCCAGAATATGGGCCACAGCTGGCACCTTTATCCTTGGCTACAGAGCCACAGAAAGTTACTCCAAACTGTTTAGTTTTCCCCCCACAACTTTGGCCAGAGATTGAGCAAGTTTTTAGCCCCTCTTTAAGCCTCAAGAACATATAGTTTCAGCCCCCTGTCTGTCTGTGTCTCCTGGCCGAAAGTCAATTTGTCGTTTTGTGCATAATTTATGATGCGTGACATTCAATCGCCGGTGGGCAAAGAAAGGCGCATTCAGCCTTTGCCCCAAGGACAACATGTCTGAGTTGCTTTGGCCATGTATTTATATGAGATTTTGCCTGTCTGTTTGCTTGGCTTATTCGAAGTTTATTGTGTGTGAAAATGCGCTTAAGCTGAGTTTCTATTAGCCCTTTTGTGCCGCACATTTCACATCATCAATCAATGCCTTTTTCTGGCTCTTTTCTTTGTGCGGCATAAATGTAGCTTCAGCTTGGAACTTGCATGTTGGCTGCATTTTCGCCTGCTGTTTGCCCAATTAATCAAATTGAATTGAGCCACAACAACCGCAGGTTGCAGTTCGCAGTTTTGGCTCGTGCAAATATTGTGTAGTCGGCCAACTGCCACGGAGTGCCACTCATTAAAAGTGCAACATGAGTCGTGGGTTTCGAGCTGCTTCGGCGGGTGTACTCATGACTAATTCATTTATCGCAGAGAGCAGAGCTCCAGCTACCACATAGTTACCACAATTTAAAGCCGCAAGACCATAAGTTTGCTCTGTGCATAAAAGGCAGGACCAGAGCTTTGGTAGGACAGGGAGCAGCTGGCTGGCTGTCCAAGCAATCAACTTGATTGCTTTCATTTACTTTCAATTAATTTAAAATAAATATATACAAAATATAAGCGTAAAGCAGAGCAGCAAAGGGTGCAAAAGGAAGGCAAAACCTGTCCGGGTGGGCGGTATAAATTTGCCAGCTTTAAATCTAAGTAATTGCCACGGGGGCACGTCGCTTTAGAGTCTACTTCTTTCACTGCTGCTCTCTCCCTAACAGGCGAAATACAAATTTCAACATATCCTGGCCGCATTATTGTAACGGAGCCCAAGGGCATGGTACAGCCGCGCATCAACGTGGAGAAGCATTCGATGCGGCATGTTGTCCTTAATGGGCAAACAACGTTGCCGTGCATAGCTCAAGGACATCCGGTGCCCACATATCGGTGAGTAGCATGCATAAAAAGCAACAAAAAACCAACAAAAACGAAACACGTGGCCATGTCACACAGCAGCGGACACAGCAGCTGTGGCTGCGCCTCGAATGAGCCACTGAAGGGGCGGTGGCGCCCCCATGGCTGCTCTCCTCTTCGAAAAGCAAGCCCAGAACCGCAGTTGGCGCGCACTTTATGACAATGTGAAATATTTAACGCTTCTGCCAACAAAAAAAAAGAAACACAACAAATGGCAGAGTATGGCGCGGGGCAAACGCCGCAGTGCTTGATGCCCTTTAGGGTTGATTTGAAGTTTTGGGTGGCAATTTTGAATGAAATTATGCAGGAAGAATACAAGGCTATAAGGTGCGATATTAGTGGTTCCTTTTGGGGCAGTTTGCTGGCTGTGAGCAGTGACTGAGCTGCGAAAAATCACAGCCAAACTTTGGCCATGCTCCTCTCCACCTGTCGCAGCTCTTGGCAAAGTCATAGTACCCTCTGTCAGCGCACACAAAACAAGCGGCGGGAAGCCAAGCAAAACGAGAAACGAAAAAATAAATGCCACAAAAGAAAATAATACAAAAAATGCCAGCCAAATTGTCAAACAACATGTGGGGGGCGAGTGGCAATTGAAGGCCTGTCTGGGGCTAAGGACACATAGATAGCCGCTAATGCAGCAGCGAAGGAGCTCCCGGGAGTCCAGCTACCTGGAGCAGCTTTTTAGCTTTCAATTTAAACTCCTTGCAGCTGCCACGTTTGTCTTGAGGGAATGTCAGAGGCCCCCACACACACACACACAAATCAATCAAATGCTGTGAAACGTTTATGGCAAAATGCTTGCCGAAATGTCGCTCAAGTTTTTTAGTGCTGCCAAAGAGGAGAGATCAAAAAAAGGACAGGCAGAACACTGCTCAGTGGACATTCGGCCACTTTGGCACTTGGCTCATCATGGCTAGATTTTCAAGTGCTAAAAGATGCATGAAAGCTGGCACTGGGACTGGCACAGTTCCTCCTGGGAGTTTGTGTCCTTGCTGGTGCCATGTAATATGCCATTGTATGTGCCTGTCTGTGTCCTTCGTGTTGCATGCATAACAAATGCGCGGCAACTGGCTTTCATTTGATGTCTCCCGCTGTGCCAAAAAGGAACGCTCCAAAGGAATGTTGCAGCCGTAGCCGGAGCCGGATGGCAGTGGGCTTTGTGCGGCGCTGAGTTTTGTTTTCCGCTGCATTGTTTTCCCAGCGACCTGCAGGTCTCGGTAGCGTCTCAGTGACTGCTCTGGCTGCTCCTGCTGCTGCTGTTGTTTGGTTTTCCTTTTTCCTTTTGCTTTTTGCTTTGCCTCATAAATGTGAAAATAGTTGCAAGTTTTGGGGCTCTCTCTGTGTGTGTCTCTGAAAGTATTTGAAATCATTTCTCCTGCGGCATTTGCTTCGCTGACAACATCTCTTTTGTGTTCTGCCAACGATTTCTTGCCACAATGGACACGGAGCAGCTGCAGCTGCAGCGGCTTCATATTGATTCAGTTGTTGATAATCACTGACCATATTTCGCATTGAACTGCATTTCATATGCAAATAGCTGAGTGCTGGGAGCGCCTGTGCCACATCCTTCCTCTCTGTGGCAGCTTCTGCTGGATTCTCTTTGGATGCCTGGCATTTTGCATGATTTTAATTAAGAAATGCCATGCCCGGAGGGGCCCATGCCGTTGCACATAAGACGGGAAGCGCACTCAAGTGCAATTAAAGCCAAATTAAAATCAATAACTTTAATGGCAGAAAAATGAAACGAATTCCCCCACACAGCCTTGGCATCAAACAGATTATGACACGCTCGCCCCGGATAAAAATGCATTTCCTCTGTTGATTTACGCAATTGAGAAGTATTTTTTTTTTTGTATACAATTCAAGTTCGACACGAGGAATACCCATTGCTGGAGGGTTAAAAAGGGCACTGCATTCAGCATTCAGGGCTTCAGCCAGTGCCTCTTTCACTTGTGCAACGTCACTCAATGCAATCATAAATGCAATCCCATAAATAAGAGCCAGAGCGCATATTTTGTATGAATAAATACCTGGCCCTGGCCCCACTTAAATGCCATCATTTTTACAAACTTTTGAAATATATTTCCATGTGCCTGAATGGCCTTCGAAGCCCTCAACATTCCGTTAACAATCAAGCAATCAAAGGCAACGTGCGGGCATAATCGAAAAGCAATTGAATTCAAGCGAAATTATTGATAATTCAATCTTCATTTTCAATTTGTTTGAAGCCGCAGACAAACAAAATGCCAAAATCGTTGGCAAATAAACGGAAAAATGCCACGATTTACGAGACATTTCGCAGCCATTGCGATTGCCATTCCCCCTGCTGAGTCCTTTGTTTGTCCAACATTTCATCGCATGTTTCTCTCTGCCATCCTTCAGGTGGTTCAAGGAGGAGAACGAGCAGCTGCTGCCACTGCAGCTCAGCGAACGCATCACCATCGTGTCCGCCGGACTGCTGAAAATCACCAAGGTGCGTAGGCAGAATCAGAAACAGAATCGGAAACAGTCCTCCTGCTGCTGATTGCCAATTGATTTCGTACCATTGCAGGCACGTCTCGAGGATAGTGGAAAATATTTGTGCTGGGTGAACAATACGGCTGGCGAGGAGACCATCCAAGTGTCGCTAACGGTGACAGGTGAGTGTAGCTCTGTGTAGCTCTGTGTGTGTGTGTGTGTGTGGCAAGATGGATATATAGTGGGCGAAATATCTGCAGCACCTTTGACGGCGCATCTGCAGCCACAGGTGCAGACGGTGGATGTCGATAAGGATGCGCAATTTCAATGCATTGTCTCTGGCCATCCGGTGCACGATGTCAACTGGCTGCACGACGGCAAACCCATACTCAGGGACAATCGCGTGGAGGTAAGACCTAGCTGGCACTTCTCTCTGTCACATCATCCAACTCTCTCCATCTCTCCCACACAGATACTCACCGATCCGCCGCGTTTGATCATCAAGAAGGTGCAGAAGGAGGACCCGGGCATGTATCAGTGCTTCGTGTCCAATGAATGGGAGCAAATTCAGTCCACAGCAGAGCTCCAATTGGGCGGTAAGTTATATCAAATGCCGTATATCGTTTACACACTTTGTCTCAATAAATTGTGCGCCATTAATAGCCACTTAACCACACTCACCACGCCTGCTACATCTCAATCAGCAGCGTAATTTCCCACTCGAGAGTGGAATTCCATTCCTCCTGCTGCGGCTCGCTCTCTGTGTGTGTGGACCCACCGCAGACCACACACAAATAAATGTTTGTCATAATTGCATTTCATTATTTTCTAATTTAGCAAATTGCAAACATTTTTCAACGAGCCACAAAGAGAGAGAGAGAGCTGAGAGAGCTGAGAGAGCGGGAGGGTGGATGCCACCCCAACAAATCACAGCAACGGCCAGAGTAGAGCAGGGAAGGCGGCTGCTGCGACTTAATTTTATTATCAGCACTAAAAATCTAGCCGCAGACACTAAACACAGCAGCAGGGGCGTGGCACATTGGATCGTTTAGCGGCCTTAGGGAGGCACAATCGATTGAGGGGTTTATGCGGAGCACCAAAAAGGCGATTACTGGCTAATGGAAGGTGCATCAAAGGAGTTGATGGAAACTTTATCGCAGAGCACATAAAGGAAAACTCACTTTTGTTCAGAAATATTACCCATAATTATGATCAATAAGGAAATCCCTCCAACAAACGCATTTGCCACCCGACTGAGCATTTCCCATAAGTATGGAAATTGTTTGCTCCGCACATTGTATGTGCCGCACTTTATCGCAATATCGCAGCGCGCATAAACATCACAGCAGGCAGACGGACAGACATTCGCTTTCGTGATTTGCTTTTAGGCGCAAACGGAAATTGATTTCGATATATTATTGGCACACAGTTCGGGATGGAGTGTGCGGGTGTAAAAAGCTCTTCCCCCTCGCGCCACATGCTGAAGCGCCATTAAGCGGCCGGATATGGCAGCAATTGTGTCAACGTTGCAGCTGTATGTGTGTGTGAGTGAACAAATAAATATGGCAGCTTATAGCTGAGAATGTCATGTCAGGCCATGGGGATGATATGGCGATGACGATGATGATGATGATGATGACAATCCCACAGCCGAAAACTCCATTGCAATGCGACGAAGAAAACGGAAATTGATATAATTTTCATCAGCTGGATAACATTTGCTGCTGCTGCTGCATTTTCCGTTTGCTTTGCCAAAAGAAAAGAGGAAAAGCGAATGCGGAAACTAAGGAAATGCAATGGCAAAAAAAAATACAAGTGCGAATCTGGTGTTGCCACTGGCTCGGGGGGGGTGGGGAAACGATTCAATAGAAAGATGAAGATGGAAATGGAAATGGGTTCTGTTTGCAGTTGAATGTTCAAGGTTTAAGGTTTAAGGTTTAAGGTTTGAGGGCTCAAGGCAAGGCATCCTTTCAACATAATTAAGAGTGAAACACACACTGCATGGGGGAAAATCTCTGCCTCAGTGGAGTTCATTTTCAGCTGTAACTTCTTCTCACTCCAATTTCTGTTCATTTTAGATGCTTCGCCGGAACTGCTTTATTGGTTTTCGGAGCAGACGCTGCAGCCGGGACCGACGGTATCATTGAAGTGCGTTGCCACCGGAAATCCACTGCCGCAATTTACATGGTCTCTGGACGGATTTCCGGTAAGTTAGGCCACCAAACTATGCCCGCAACTTGAGCCTTCATTTAGCAAGTCAGAGTCCCATAGCAGGCAGCGGAAATGCAGGCAGGCAGCGTTTCCGTTTCCGCTGCCAAGAAGTTGCCTCAGTGCCAAAATATTCGAGGCAGAGAGGCACAGGCACAGGCACAGGCACAGCCAGAAATATTTGTCACAGTTACAGCTATCGCCGTGCATCTCTGACTTCCCCTTTGGGCCCAACGAGCGGGCTCCCTTGTTAGCCCGGACTCTAGTGCATACTTGGGATTCCCAAGCTTTCTGGGTTTTCCTTTGCGTTGCCTTTTTTGGGGCTGAGGCTTTGTTTCGTTTATTTGCATACATTTTCATTTTCTTTGGAGCCCCACTCCTCGCTTCTCCTCCGCTGTCTTTCTTTCTCTCCGCTTTTACGTAGTGCAAATTGTATGCAATTTCAATCAATTCGATTTACATGAATTTTTCATTTTACCTCTGCCATCTGTCCTCTGATTTCACCAGCAACAGAGCAAGAGAGAGAGAGAGAGTGCCGAGTGGCGAATGTTTTGCTAATTGGGCCACTTTGATAACGTGTTCCCTTCCACAGATTCCGGACAGCTCGCGCTTTTTAGTGGGTCAATATGTTACCATCCACGACGATGTCATCAGCCACGTGAATATATCAAATGTCAAGGAGGAGGACGGCGGCGAGTATACCTGCACGGCACAGAATGCCATTGGCAAGTGAGTAGAAGCAGCAGCAGTTCCATAAATAAAACACAGAGCAGAGGCCTCTACTCCGATAAAAAGCATTTCCATGCTAAATCATAAATTTAGTTGTGGCATACGGAAAAATAACAAGAAAAAAGACGAATAGAAATGGGAGCTCTCAAGGGGTAGTGGTATAAGGGGGGAAGCTCCCATTGCTTGCAGACAGAACGAGGAAGAGTACGAGCGACATAAAATCCAAACAATTTGCTGAGGCAGCCGTAAGGGGTCTGGAGGGGGGGTGCGGTTCAACTGTTCAGATATCATAGTTAGGGATGGCAAAGAGAAAAGCAGAATCAGGCACGTAAAATTCCTCAACATTGATTCAAGTTAAAGCTTGAACTGCAAAGTATGTTTTGCTTTGGTTATTTTATGGAATTTGCGTAGAGATAAGGGCAGATACTTGCAGATAACGTAGCTGGTTTTTATTGCAGATGAGCTGGGTAGCTGAAGCTTTTTATTTGGTATAAATATTTGCACATGTTCCGTGGAGGTTCGCGTGCGTTTGCAAGTGAGATTAAAGCTTACAAGCACGACAGCCGTGTGGATCGTGGGTGAGCAGCAGGAGAGCCGTGTGGATCGTGGGCGAACAGCAGGAGAGCCGCGTGGATTGTATGCGAGCAGCATGAGAGCTACAGCGAACTAACAGTCTGCTGTTAGCAAGCGCCGCTACTTACACCTGGATTGCTAACAGCTCTGTTGCTCTGTTACAGCTCTCCCGATCTCTTCAGATCTTGGCTGGCTTGGCTTACATTCCATTTAATATTTCATTGAATTTATGCATAGAAAACCAAACACGCTTCCATCACCAGCGCTAACTCTAAACATTTTACTGTGTTCACGTGTTTTTTATGTACTCTGATGTCGCAGGGTTTCGCATAGCGCAAAAGTGAACATCTATGGATTGCCTTACATACGCGAAATGCCAAAAATAACTGGAATCTCTGGCTCCGATTTGATTGTTAAATGTCCCGTGGCTGGTTATCCCATCGATAAAATACACTGGGAGCGAGGTAAGCATTACAAATACTATATATATACATACATATATGTATGTGTATATGTACGTATTTATGTACATATGTCGACCCGCATGATATGGCAGTGTTTGCCATATATTTGGTTTCCTCAGCTCTTTGTTTTTTGGTCATTTTGTGATTTCTCTTTATGGTTATTTGCCTTTTGGCCAGGGAGTTGTTTGTTATTAAAAATGGTATGTTTGTTATTGCGCATATCAGTGAAAATGATTAAAACTACAGAATGAATGTTGTCTGCTTCTGGGGTTCTCTCGCTCTTTTGCTCTTTTCGTCCTTTTTTGCCTGTCAGTTGGTTTTCCGTTGGTTTTTTAAGCGATATAATTTTATTTGTATTTGTTAATTATTATCTCTGCATGCAGTTGTCAGTGTGTGCTTGTGTCAACTGTGCACAAATATTGCCGAAAAAGCAGAATAATCAGGGAATAATCAAAAAACGGGAGACTTCTGTTGCTGAAAGAGAGACAAATAATACTCTGCGAAGTGTTTTTGCATATTTTGTTGTTTATATTTGATCTAAAAGTCTCTAAAAGATGGCCATATAATGGAAATATGTAGAATTTATGTAAAGAGAGATTGAAGAACCGATTTAACAGCCTCTAAGATATAAAACATAATCTTTCCATGGATTTTTAGTTACCTTTTTTAGGCTCCCAGCAAAATTGTTTCCTTTTCCTTTGTGTGTGTGTGTGCATGCAAATAGATGAAAGTTGTAGAAAAAGTAAACTCCAAAAAGTGCCACGTAGCCATAAAGTCATAAATTGCCACAAATTAATTGCCAACGCCTTGCTACGCTCTCTTCCTGCTGCTGCTCCTTGTTGGTATCCGGTAAGATGGGCAAACGCTGCCCATAAATCGCCGACAGCGTGCCTACAACAATGGCACCTTAATTATCGAGCAACTGCAGCGCCTGGAGGATGCTGGCACGTACACGTGCATGGCCCAGAACAAACAGAAGCAAACATCGCGGCGCAACGTGGAGATACAAGTGCTGGGTGAGTAAATCTCCGGCTCTGGCGCTGGCTCTGGCTCTGGCTTTGGCTAGATGTTTTCCCAATATTTAAAATTAGAAACTGGCCAGAGAGAGGGGGGAGTAGCGCTCTCTCTCCATTCTGTAGCCATAGCTGGAACTGCTACAATGAAACTATTCCAATTAGACTGCCGAAACGAAACTATGCAGCCGCAAGAGCAGCCACAGCCACAGCCGGCAATGGCAACGGCAACGGCAACGGCAACTATTTTCCCCAGTTAATGCACATGCTGCATGGTGGGTGGTGCCCAGTGGGTTGGCTGTGTGCTGGCTGCCTGCAGACCCACAATGGAGTCATTGACTTTTGTGTTCTGTCTGCGGCGGCTCCGGCTGCCTCCACATTTCACTCTTTATAATAATTTACTCGACTGCAGCAGCAGCAGCAGCAGCAGCTGTTGCTAAGCCGCAAGTTGCATTGCCCCACTCACATCCTTGATTATCTGTGGGGTTTTGTGCTTAAGCTTTCATTTCATTCACAGTGCCACCGAAAATTATGCCCATCCAGGCGATGACAAACATGCTGCGGGAGGGCATGCGTGCGGCCATCTCCTGCCAGATCCTGGAGGGAGATCTGCCCGTCAGCTTTCGCTGGGAGCGCAATGGCAAGCCGCTCATTGGCACGGGGTGAGTTGCATGAGGCCTTGCCACAAAATTCCTTCCAATCTGCAACTCCATTGTTCCCTCTAGCAACGAGGTTTTCCGCCGCTTGGATGAGTACTCCGCCAGCCTTGTCATCGAACACATAACCTCGGATCATTCCGGGAACTATACCTGCATCGCTGGCAATGTGGCGGGCACGGAGCGGTTTACGGTGCCCCTGACCGTGAATGTGCCACCCAAGTGGATACTGGAGCCCAAGGACTCGAGTGCCCAGGCGGGCGCTGATGTGCTGCTGCACTGCCAGGCCTCGGGCTATCCAAAGCCCACCATTACCTGGAAGAAGGCAATTGGACCGACGCCAGGCGAATACAAGGACTTTCTGTACGAGCCCACCGTGCAGCTCTTTCCCAATGGCACCATCTACTTCAAGAAGATCAGCAAGGAGTCGCAGGGACACTTTCTGTGCGAGGCCAAGAACAACATTGGCTCGGGCGTCAGCAAAGTAATCTTTCTCAAAGTGAATGGTGGGTACTCGGATCTCCATCTGCCTCTTTCTCGCTGTGTTCTCTATGTATCTGTCTCTCTCCCTCTCCCTCTCCGATAGTGCCCGCTCACTTTCAAACGAAAACGAAACAAATCTCGGTGGCCAAGGGCAAGCAGGTCCATGTGCAGTGCAATGTGCAGGGCGACAATCCCATTGACTTTAAATGGAAAATCCAGGCAACGCAACAGTATCTTGACGAGTCGCTGGATTCACGGTAAGAGTGGGGGACTCCTCTCCTCTCCTCTCCACTCATCTCATTCCTACGCTGTCTGCGTGTCTGGCGAAATCAATTCCAAGTCGATTGCAAACAACAAATTGCTTTTAATTAAAAGAGTTTCTCTGTCGTGGTGGGTGGGTTCGGGTTGGTACTCCGAGATTGGGTTTCAGTTTCAGAGCAACTGATGGATACTTGGGATGGGGGCCAAGGCTTAAAATCAATTTTCATGCTCTCTCTATCTCCCTCTCGCATTTCGTGCCTGAGTTTCGGAACTCTTATCAATTTCTGCTCTAAAGATGAGGCTCCAACAGCGGCTTGCCGTTGGTTATTTTCTATGGCAATTTTTGTTGTTTGCTGCTTTCTGGGCAGCAGCTCTGGTTTAAGGCACTCTCTGCCTCCTCCTCCTCCTCCTACTTGTGTATCGTAAGTGTTTTAATGTATGTGTATTTCCGGCTTTCTCTTTTCTTCCTTACCCCTGCCCTCGGCGACGCTCCACACTCGACAAACAACAACTGAATGCATGCGCGTTTTATTTATTTATGCCATTTGCACACGCACACAACTACCGCTCCGTGTGTGTGTGTGTGTGTGTGTATTTCGGCCTCGTACGTCTTCGTCTTTGTCAACAAAACTACAACTACAAAACTACAACAACTGCTGTTGCCGCTGCTGCTGCAACTTGGAAAACATTGTTATAAAATTGCATTGCATCGCTCACGTTGCGCAAACACGTATCCACACACACAAACACATTCTCGTATCTCCTCCGTATCTCCTCCTCGGTATCCAACTGCTACTGTCCCAACGTTTGCATGTGTCGTCGTTGTATCTCTTTAATGCATTTACTTGCATATAAATCACACACACACCTTCCACACACACACACACACACACACACACACACCGAGCGTACGTTCCACACACAGCTACACTATAAGAGATCAAGTGCTCGACGATGGCATGGTCTCCGAATTGGGCATTTCGCACACATATCGCCAGGACACGGGCATTTATATCTGTCAGGCGAGCAATGCATTCGGACAGGTAAGTCAGGGCCAGGCCAAGGCAGAGATGTGGCACTGGAAATGGGAACAGGCTGCACTGGCTGACAGGCTGACGGGCGCTGCCCTCTAAGTGATATTATTATGCAACGAATTGACTTTAATCAAACTGTCGCTCCATGGAACTCCATTCATTGCTCGATCGAAAGTTGCTTGCTCTAGCATAATAAATCACATATCTATTCATGCTGAAAGTCGCTCTGCCAGTGCCCAGTGTCCCAATCCCATTCCACATTTCTGTGGATCCTAATTTATGGCTATTTGAAAGAGAGCCGAAAAGCCGCAGCAGCAGCTGCAGCCGCTGCAAAGGGTTGGCAGCATACTTACTCATGTGTGTGTGTGTGTGTGTGTGTTTACCCAAAAAAACAGGATGAAATGTCCATTCAGCTCATAGTTCAGGAGGTGCCCGAACAGCCCAAGAATCTTCGCATCAACTCACAGCAGTCGCGCAGCCTGCAGCTCACCTGGAGTCAGCCCTTTGCTGGCAACAGTCCCATCGAGGAGTATCATGTGTACTACAAGCAAATATCAGGTGGGAAACCAATCTCCATCCCCCCTCCCCCTCTTACTCAATGAACTCCTCACTATTTGCACAAGTCTTTGCGACAGATATCTGGCAGAATGCCGAACACATTACCATCACGGGTGCCCAGACGGTGGTCAACATACAGCAGCTGCGTCCCGCCAAGGCCTACCACATACGCATGTCGGCGGAGAACAAGTTGGGCGCTTCCGAGTTCTCCGAGGTGGTGCAGGTGACGACGCTGGAGGAGGTGCCCTCGGGGCCACCGCTGGCCGTGCGTGCCGAGGCCAAGAGCTCCACAGAGATCTCCGTCAGCTGGGATGCGCCCGAGCGGGATCACTGGAACGGCATTCTGCTCGGCTACTACGTGGGCTACCAGATGTCGCTCACGCCCGAGGACAAGGAGGTCAACCCTACGCAGGGCTTCAGCTTCAAAACGGTCGAAGTGCGCTCCCATTTCGGCGGCGAGACGATACTCGGCAATCTGAACAAGTTCACCCAGTACCATGTGATTGTGCAGGCCTACACCAGCCAGGGCAGTGGTCCACCCAGCAAGGAAATTGCCGTGCAAACAATGGAGGATGGTAAGAGTCGGGTGGGGGCACGGACACGGACACGAACACGGACATGGGGCTGTGGTCCGGTGCGGTCTGGTCTGGGCTGTCTGCTGGCATACATTGATTGGATTTGTTAATTGCCCGTGCACAAAATCTGACCCCAGACCGGGTGCTGGCTCCAGCAGTCTGGGGGGAAAACGTTTAATAAACTTTTTCCCGTCGCCTTTGCAGTTCCCTCATCGCCGCCAGAGTCGCCGCAGTGCGATGTCCTCGGCTCCACATCGATTTACATCACCTGGTCACCGCCGGACATTGACGGACAAAATGGCAAAATCAAGGGCTACAAAGTGTTTTACATATCGATCGATGAGCTCTACGGTAAGGTGTTTAATTTGTTCTTGTATGCTTTTACCTATATACTCTTACATATGTACATACATAAGTGTGCATGCACATTCATGTTCAGTGGAGCAGCTCTAACGGGGCAGCAACATTGCAAACACCCTGTAATAGAAGCTGTAGGTGGAGCTCTGCTCTCTCTTACGATCCACTCTGCTGTCAAGCACCGTTCTTTGCATGTAATCGATCCACTCTGCTCTCTCAGGATCCACTTTTGCTCTCGAGTTCCGTTCTTTGCTTGTTAGCTAGCAATTGCATTTATTTACGTTCAATCCTTCGATGTAAATGGCCGCTAAATGCTGCACGCGTGAATTATATTGATTCTACATCCATCGTAAACCGATTTCGTCTTTAAACGTGCGTTTTACCAAGCTTCCTACAAGCCCTCCTTCGTAAATTCAATTCGGCGTTCGGTATACTTACTTCCATGCTGAAGGCAAAACGGTAAAAGTTTTATTTTGTTGGTTACATAAAGGTACTCCCCGTACTTATTTAAGTTTCGATTTTGCATAGCCAAAAGTTGCTTGTCCAATAAGTCCAGTAAATAATATCAATTGATAGCCGAATGACACAACCTTTTTGAAAACTTAAGCAGACTATCATTCAGCAGAAATATAAACCTAGCCACGTGCCGCACAAAACCTGTCAGAGTTACAGGCAAGTTATGGCAACAGAAGGAGAGCTTCCCTGGTAGCTCGTACATCCTCATCTCATAACTCGAACTACGTGCCTCGGCGGGGACTCTGTCGAGTTCTGAAACGAATTTGCCGAATGACCCAAGTGGCAGTGGGATTTTGCTGCATTTATGCAACAGCAAGAGCAGCATCATCAACGACCAATGGGTCGATTACGAGTGCTGTGGCATGTACAGTACATTCCGGAATGTTATGTGCCGCGCTGCGCTTGCCCAGCTTCCTTTTTGCTTCTTCCTGCTGCGATTAATGACACTTTTCAATTAATTAGCCCACTTCATGGTCCTCATATTTCCAATCAGCGCTAATTGTTCTCGTTTTCGTTCTCGTTCTCGTTGCTGTAACCCAACCCCATGCTACTGCATCGCTTACACATGCTCAGAGACCGATCCGGAGGTTGTCAAGTCAACAAATCAATACGTCACCATCGAGAATCTGCGCAAATACACAAACTACACGGTCTGGGTTTTGGCTTACACCAAAGTAGGCGATGGCATGAAAACCAAACCGTTTTATTGCCGCACCCACGAGGATGGTAAGTGGCATTCGGTTCAATGAACGCAAACGAGGTGCGGCACCCCCAACCCCCTGTATCATACGATGTCGTTGCCTCGCTTGCAATTTTCATGAAGCGTGAGAGAGAGAGAGAGAGAAGAGAGAGCTTTATATATTCATGCACATATATTTATTTCTGGCGCCTTTCATTGCAAATTGTCGAATGGAATGGAATGGAATGCAGTGCCATCCGCTCCGCAGGCAATCAAGGCGATACCCGCGTCGAGCACCAAAATCATCATATCCTGGCTGCCCCCGGACCTGCCCAATGGTGACATCGTAAGTAGCCTCCCACAGCCCATACATACCCTCTTTCCCCATTGCCTAATTAGGCGACAGTTGAAGCTTCAAGACACACGCTCACGCTCACGATTCCCTTTGCAGACGGGCTACACCTTTTACATGTCCATGCTGGAGGGTGGCCGCGAGGAGGGCACCCACAAGCGACTGCTGGGACCCTTTGTGGAAATGCACGAGACGGTGCGCACCCAGGAGTCGGCCACGTACCAGTTCTGGCTCACCGCCTCCACCAAGATGGGCGAGGGCGAGAAGACGCAGGTGGTGACGGTGCCGCCGAATAACAAGGTGCCCGCGCGCATTGTCTCCTTCAGCCAGCGGATTGTCACGCCCTGGAAGGAGCACCTGGAGCTGCCCTGCCGCAAGGTGGGCGCCCCAGCACCGGTGACAATCTGGCGCCAGGATGGCCACAACATGGAGACGAGTGCGCGCAAGACCATTGCCAAGAACGGCACGCTCTACATGAAGGAGTGCCAGGCGAGCGATGCCGGCAACTACACCTGCAGCGTGGAGAACACCTGGGGCAAGGACGAGATCGTGTACAATATTGTGGTGAAGGTGCCGCCCGAGGCGCCCAATCTGACGGTGATCAATGCCTACACGGACAGCCTGCATCTGGAGTGGCTGGACAACAGCCACGGCGGCAGTCCCATTCTCGGCTACGTGATCAACTACAAGCGGGACAACGGCGACTGGGAGGAGCTGCAGGTTGATGCCAAGACCACATCCCATCTGCTCAGCAATCTCTGGTGCGGCACACGCTATCAGCTGTACATCACGGCCTACAACAAGATCGGCACCGGACTGCCCTGCGACATTGTCAACTCCTACACCAAGGGCAATCCGCCCGTGCAGCCGAAACACTCCCAAATGATCACCAACAACTCGACGAGCGTCACCTGCTGGCTGGACTCCTGGGGCGATGGTGGCTGTGGCATACTCTACTTCATGATTGAGTCCCGCATCTATGGCAGATCTTCGTGGAATGTTGTCTCCAATCATATTCCACCCACGGAGCGGATCTACACAGTCAGCGAACTGACGCCCGGCACCAAATATCAGCTGAAGGTGACGGCACACAACAATGCGGGCTCCACGACGGCCGTATACAACTTTACCACGCTCTCCACACAAGGAGGTAGGACACGGAAGAGCGTACAAACTCCATTACAATCTCTTCTACTTTCAGTTCTCTACACTAATGATCACTCCACACCTGTCTCCCACCTGAGCGATTTGCCTTTCTATGCGAACTTCAAGCTGCTGCTGCCCATCTGCGTCTCGTTGCTCATGTTGCTGGCTCTCATTGGAGCTGCTCTGTTTCTGCGCAAGAGAAGTATGACCCCCCGCCCAACCATACTTGATTCTAACTGATAGTTCTCATCCCCAAATCAGAACTAAACAATCAAGCGCGTCTGGCCAGCTCTTCCCTGTCAGAGTCCCCCTCGCTGGCCAATCTGCAGAACAAACAGAACCGCGATCAGCAGTATCTGGCAGTGCGTTGCAATCCGGGCACTTCGCAGCCTCGCGGCTCCAACTCCAATGATTCGGGCAGCTTTGGCAAGGCGGAGGGCAATGAGTACATCGAGGACATTTGCCCCTATGCCACGTTTCAGCTGAACAAACAGACCTACAGCGAGAGCTCCTACAGCGGCAATGTCTACAGCGGTCCATACCACTCGGTGCGCGGATCCTTTGTCTATCACGATGTCAAGCCAGAGAGCTATCATGTGAGTGGTTGAATGGGATACTGAGTGATGTAATGATGCCTAATGCCGAATTTTATCCCAGTCCAAGGAGCCGGAGTACACAAAAGTGCGACGAAAAGTGGGCCGTTTGAGGGATCCCCATTCGGAGAGTCAAGGTAGGGATTCATGGTCATCCATGATCATTCTGCCTCCCACATTTCCAGCCCCAGCCCCAGCCCCAGCCCCAGTCAGGTGTAGCTTTAGCTTTAAGCCAAAATTGAATCATTTCGCATACGTTCATCCACCATGATTGCCATTGATCCTGCGTTGTGCTCCTTATTTAACTCATCTCTTTCTCTCATTGCTCTCAACGTTCTCTCCATTCCGCACATTCAAAACCAAAACCTCATCTCGATAAACAAACCAACAAACAACGTACAAAAACTCCATCGATCGTACTAAACTTTTAGAATCGGACAATCCAGGTTCCACAGATTCCGAAGTTAGGAAAATCCTAACGCTTCACATACCAATTACAGAATATGACACACTCGGCTCCGAGTCCGACAATGATGTGTCTGCACGCGCTCTTAACTCGGCCAAGTATCGCGCCCAACGTGGTGAGTGCTCCTCTGCGACCTTGAATCGCCCCACTTACAGATCGTTCCCTATTACTGCACCCCGTTAGATACGCAAGATGAGACCTCATCATCATCGGAGACGACACCCACTAGCATGACCCGAAAGTCAAAGCCACCGTTTGCGGCCCGCAAGCCGGGGAAGCCGGGCACCAGCGGCAAGCGGCACGTGCGAAGTTCCAGCGGCTATTCGAGCCACAATGAAGAAACTACTTTTAGGTAAGCCAGAAGTCGTCCCGAGTCGAAGTGTTTGATGTTCCGCTATATGTAGTGCATAATTAGAACCCTGTACGTTTAGCATATCCAACTATCCACCAAACTATCAGGACCACATAAATCCACCAGCTCGTTTTTCGGATGCCAACGAGAAGTCAAAGACACAGACGTCGCCACGTATGCGTGCCAATCAGAAACTACAGCGGGAAGCCTTCCAGATCAATGTCTAAGGCCCCTCTAACCCTGAATGGAGTTCTAGTTTTTAGACATAATATTATTATAGATGGTGGGGCAGGATCTGTACAAACGAATATGAAACGAACAATTGTACAATTTGTTGTAAAATCCACCCAGACTTTGGCGCCCACTTCCAAACAAAAACTAAACCTCCAAACTACAAATCCAAAAAGAACAACAGCCGAAAACTCTTACAACTATTTACAACAACAGAAAACCAGAAAATGGCAACAAGAGACAGATGGACAGACAGAGGAATATTTGAAATTTTCGAGTGGATTTTTGATTTTCAACGAACGGATCAGATCAGAAACAGCACGAAAAATAAACCATAAGACTTATTTACACACTGATTATGCTTAGTTGAACTTGAGGACAAAAAAAAAACGCTGCATAAATACGAGTATATAACGAATGAACGTACATCTAAAGTATATAATTAATGTTATAGATCCTAAATTAGGCATTTAATGTATGTGAGGAAGGAGGAGGAACTGCGGCAGGCCGCAGATCAGTGAATGCTCTGCAGAAAAGCCAAAACGAAACGAAAGCGACACGAAACGAAAGTAGAACCATGGCAGAGCATGATCAAGTTGGATTAAATTAAATATATAAATGTAATACGTGTACTAAAACCATAAGCAATGGGCATTTGTGCAGAACAACTGCAGAAACTCTTTGCATTTGTAGTAAGTTATAAAAACAGAAAACAATTATGAGCATTTCGTTGAAGTGAATTGTTTGTTTAAACCATTTTTGCGTCAGTTTGACAACTGTTAGCTAGTTATTTAAATGAATTTAATTGATTTAAAAGGGAGAAACACAATACAATATAATAAAATACAATACCGAATACCGGAAATGCATTCAGATAGTTTATGAAACTGTTGTAAATAGCTAAGCGTCATACAATTAAATTCTACACAGAGCGTGCGAGTATTATATACGAATAACACACACACACACACAAACACACAAGTAAATGTTAGTGGAAAAGATAACATAAGAGAACGAAAAACAGGAACAAAAACAAACAAAAGCCAAAGTCGTAAACCAGCATGCATTTCCATAAGCAGCCGCTCAAAAGACATTTACTAACTAACCAAATATGGAAATACTCACTACGGAACCCAGACGGAAACAAAAGTTATAGCCGAATATTTGCCAAAGACAGACAGACAGTTAGACAGACCAAAGACAGACTCTGCTCCTGTACCATACATGCGATTATTATAATTATACGAAATACGAATATATCTATTTTCCAATAGCTACAACGACAAAAAAAACCAAAAAACCCAGCAAACCAAGCAAACAATACATGACAATATGACACAACAAATACATGCATAAAATACCAAAAAAACATATAAAATACATTAACAAAAGAAAATGAATAAAACCAAAGATCATGTAAAAAACTTATAAAGTTAAAAAGTTGAATTAGCGCATTGAACGAACACATTTGGCAAAAGACAACAAAAAAACTCTTCAGACTGCACTTTAAATGAGAAAAAAAAAAACATAAAAGCAAAAGCTAACCTGTAGGCATTTACTTGGTTGTAAATTGATTAAAACGTTTGCGGCATTAAACAAATCTCTCTCTCTCTTAAGCATAAACCCAGTTGTAAAATTACACACACTAAAAGAAAAGATTCTTCTAAAGCAGCACAACAGTTTATGTACAATTGAAATGTGGAAAAATAATGAAACAAAACTTTAAAAGCAAAAATACATGACATGACATTATGATGGGAAACTTGTCTTACTTTTTGTGGTAATAACAATTTGTCGCATTTATTTACATTTGACCATTGAGTAAAACAGATGTGGGATTTAGCAAAATAGATTATAGTACACCAAAGTGGAAAAAAAAGAAGCCTCCTTAAATACTACTTCTATCTCCCCACATCCTGGTTGTTTTTGCAATTGTTGCACTTAAAGCATTTTCATAAAGATATACACATGACAGATCGTTAGTTTTTGAGGAACTAGAGCTATACAATATGATTGTTTGTGTGTGTTTCACTTACACATAACTTAGGGCTAGACACAGGATACATTAAATCTTAGTAGTGGACTTTCTCTGGACTACAAAGGGTTGACGACTGAATTACACTTATAGAACACACATAGGAATACAGAAAAAGGGCTCGTAAACAGTCGTAAAACTCAGCTTGTTAACGTGTATAAAATTGGAGTTGGAATTGGATTTGGATTTGGGCTAGGGTTTTTGGGGTTTTAAGAGATGTAGCAAAAAACGATCCCAGACTGTGGCTGGGCTGGCATCTTAAGGAATAACTTTAAGCTAAACACATGGATACGTTTCAACTTTGATTGGTGTTTGATTGCTTTGTTGCTTATGGCAAATATCAGAACATAATCGGCTTGTCCTTGCACTGGTCTATTACATAGCCAGTGAAGCGTTTCAGAAACTTGGGATACTCGCGCTTGTACACAGCGCGCAGAGCACTCGCCGGTGCCCAGCCACCAGGATTCACTAGAAGATGGACAAAATTAATCATACAATTAATCGTAACTTGCCAGAGATACATACCCACAGAGCAGTAGGTTATTTTGCAGGTTAAATCGTTGCGATTCAATGGCTGACCCTTGACGTAGTCGTCGGGCAAGTGGGTTTGGCAGGACAGTATGACGGTGAGGAAGATGCGCACACATTTGCCATTCTTGGACTCTTGCTTGGAATACTCCGTGGAGTTATTGCACACCACCCACATGTCCCGAGCGCCCGGCTCGAGATTGTCGGTGATTTTGCGCATATGCGACCAGAATTGTGCATCCCGCTGGCTGGCCGGCCAGATGCGTTTATGGGTTTGCAGAAAGAGCAATGTGTCTGCTGAGATTTTCTCCAGAATTGTGCAGTCCTCCAGGGTAGCTAAATGGGGGAAGTGGAAAACAAGAGTTATAAATGGGAAAGCATAAAGTGTCAACTGCTAGACTCACTCTCCCAATCGTTGCGGAACTCAGGCATAAAGAAGTAATGGCACATTTCACGAGCAGTCACACCTTGGACCGAGTGGTAGGCCTTTAGGGGATCCATCACCAGGCCATTGACTTCCTCCTCGCGTTTGTACATTTTGATTTCGCCCTCGTCCGCAAAGATTTGCCAGCCATTGCCATCCTGGCCGACACCCTCGCGTGCATAGTGCAGTTGTTCCTTGCAAACGCGATCAATCTGCGAGCGGAAAATCCAATTAGTGACTCAATTATCGGCATCCCCTCGTGGACGCTGGATGGCAATTTCCTGCCTTACCTCGGGCCACAGGGCATGGCACTTGGCCTCTGCACCGGTGCCGAACTCCTCCCGTGCCTCCTCACCCTCGGCCACTGCCTCGTGGGGCACATTCACCAGCGTCTGTGAGATTTGGGACTGCAGTTTCAGTTTAAAGCGCAGCTGCATGTCCTCCTCGATTTTGTCCAGGCCCGTTTCAACAGCATCGAAGAACTCATCCTCCGGCAATGTGGAATGTGGACCCTCCTGCAAAGAGACAACTCCATTAGCCAGAGGCACGTTACAGGTTTTATCCGTACAAAAACATCTTTAAAGGTTCGGCCTAATTAATTTTAATGACGCGACCGCATCTCTCAATCCAATTGGAAAGAAATGAAACGTGATTTGAATAAATTAATCGGACCACACTTGTGCCGCCAAATGGTCCAAGAAAATCCAATTTATGTTGTTTTTTTTTGCTTCCCTAACCAGACAACAGGCAGGCGGAGATTCTCGGCTAGCATGCGTAATTGAGGGAACATAATGGCCACAAAGGCGCATCATTGTGCCATGAATACCCAAACAGCAGGCTGTCTGGAGTGCGCTACAGTGAATTTCATGTAGGAAATGGAAATCAATTGCAGCCAGCTAGACATCATCCATGAGCCACACTGTACCCCTATTCTGACGTCTGTTTGCCCAGTTCGGCTACCGGCAACAGGCTACGGGCGCGGAATAAATGCTGTGAATGGAATCTTTGAAAATAAATTGATATTTATTAATTAATGCAGACATGTGCGCGCCCCGAGGCGTTGAAATAAGCACATTCCCCAGCCCCAAAGTTGGAGATAGACAAGTGCAGCGGCAGGCAGCCACAATCAAGCGGAATGTGGGCCATATTTTAATGCCGATGAAGTCACTACTCAGCGAGTAATTGTATCCATTATATCCCTATGGCGTCAGCTTGTCTTCTCTTACCAGACTCCTTCGCCGTCGCCTGCTGACCCTCCCTATGTTGTTGAACACTGTACGCGGACCACAACAGCAAGAAAGAACCGCCGAAAAAAACGGTACTTAAAGCGCGCAAAAGTTTTCTCTTTCAGGGCAGAGAGCGCCAAGCCAGCAAGCGAGAGAGAGCGAGAATACAGCAAAAGCGAACGGGTGAGCGAGCGTCCAGGCAAATCCTTCCGTTTAGTGCAAGGACACAAAACAAACTGTTGCTCTTTGGGCAAACTCAAAAGCCCCATTAACGGGCCAAAGCCAAAGCCAGAGCTGGCAGCGGAGAGGCTAAAGCTCTGAAGCACTGAAAAAGCTTTAATGAAAAGGATTTGCTCGTATTTAAATAATAAATCAATGTGTGTGGGGTTTTCGTTTCCAAGAGCGCACTTCTGATGGGAGGGACCCACAAATGAGGGCAATTTGGTTTTATCTTCCACTCCCGAGCAGCCTGTAGGGCAGCACCTACCGCAATTTGTTTAACTTTTCCATTCTGATAGCCAGAGCGCCAAAGAAATCGCACCGAGGGCATTCCAACGAGTTATTTCAGTGCGTGCTGCGATTTTAGACACTGTTTAATTGGTTTTCAATGCAACTGAAAAAGGTTTCACAATCTGCACACACAAATTAAAAGCCACGACAAATATGAAGAAGAAACTGTTTGGATTTTGGTTTTGGATTTCCGTTTGTTTGCACGGCTAAATTGGTTTATGATTGGTACGTGTTGGCGGCTCGATCGCTGACCGCGAACTGACCAAACCCAAGCCATAAACAGTGACAGTCGCCAGTGGCTAGCCAGGCTAAAAGCGAGAGAAGAGCTGGGCTGAGAGAGAGACAAATGGGGGAGAGTGGAATACTCCATCTGCGCTCTGGAATAACTTTAACCAAACAACAGTTGTACCCCACCTTTGGCAGTGTATTTCGATCATTTCATGTAGCATAAACATTCGTCAACCTCAATGACTGCCTTTATGGGCTCATGGTAAATCTGCTGCAACATCAAACTGTCAATAAGCAACACTGCCACCGTCTAGACGCCCACTTTTTGCGCTTGAGCAGTCGCCAAATGCATGAGCTGCCCCTCGCACAGATGCAAATATTTGATTACTCCACGCCATAAACAACATTCTGATGTAAATATTAATTGAATGGAATTAAATTAAGGCGGAAATTGGAGGGCACGCCAAAGGGCTTGCATGTGGCGAATCGGAGATTCAATCGGAACATGGGAAAATCAAACAAAACAATCGGAAATTGTTTCAAAATCAAATATGGGTCGGGTTGGGCCGTGTTCTACTTTCCGCAGGTCTGATGAAATCCGTACAAAACAGCAGCCCATTCCATGCCACGCCATACAACAAGAGAGTTTATTTTAAGACGAAGCGCGGCCATGCAAATTTACTACTCGCTCGCTCTCACTCTCTACCTCTCTGCCTTGCTGTTGTATTTGCATTCAGCATTCCGTGGCAGTGGGAATTGGAACGTGTTTGGCCCGAATTGCCGTCTGACCGTGAACACAATTCGTTTGGTTATTGTGTGCTAATCAAGGCGCACGTGGGGGACGCCGAAAGCACCGAAAATGTAAACTAAAAACTGCGAGGACTTACCTCGAAATCTGGGCCAGGATATGACAGGCGCTTCAGCCTCTCAATTTCGTCCTTGGATCGCCTGCAAAGCAAACATTTGACTTAGTTTTTGGTGGGCGTCCTTGGGGGAGATGGGGAGACCTACTTATTTTGCTCCTCCGAGCGCCGTCGCTTATCAATTTCACGCTCCAGTTTTCGCTTCCATGACTCATCGCTCTCGGCTATGATTTCCAGGCAATGTTGCAGGGTAGTCAGCACGCCGGATGTTGTGGCACGAAACGTGATGGATTCACCCTTTAAATGCAAGTGGTTTACGCTCCGTTAAACCATTTTTCAAGTGTTTATTCCGCCTTTTACCTTGAAATCAATGCACTTGAGACCATCGCCCAAGTCCAGTGGCTGTGCATTGCTCTTGTTCAGCTCGGAGCAGGCATCAAAGTAGCGCTGCAGCGTCTCTATCTGCCCGAAAAGAATGTCCTTGAAGGTCTCCAACTCGCCGACCTTCTCGCGCAGATTGCGTTGCGTCTTCTTGAGGCTGCCGCCGCTGGTCAGCGAAATGGTATTCGACTGCAGC